TGCTGAATATTCAAGATATGTCGAAAAAGGATAAGTTTTTCACCTTCATGGAAGGGTTGAAACCGTGGACACGCCCGGAACTTTATAGACAGAAGGTCACCGATTCAAGCGTAGCTATGGGAGCTGTTGAATGTTTGAGTGATTATCAACCGAAATCGAGATAGGATCGACCTTTGGGAAATAGTCAGTCTATTGGAGGTGGAAATAGACCTTATAGACCCAGCTCAAACTCAAATGGGGGAGAGCATTACTCTTATAATCGGGGAGGAGCCTATCAAGGAAACCGTCAGGGCAACAACTGGAACCAAGGAAAAGCAAAGGAGGGCGGATATGATGTCAGTCCTAAATTGAAGTGCTTTTTATTTGAGGACCCCATCGAGTGGCAGAGTGTCCTCAGAAACGGATGGTGAATGTATATTGCTAACTAGCAAGTGGCGGGACCAAATCAAAGCAAGGTACCCCACAAGCTAGCTGTCATAGCGAGACCGACTCCGAAGAAGATGAGGATATAGTTGGTGCATTCTCACATCTATGTAATACACTATCGCATCGAGTTGCTAAAAGGGAAGATGGTCCCTCGAAAGAGCCGAAGATGGAATAATCGAATGCTCACAATTGTAGAGCGAAAGGCCTAATGTACATTGATGTGAAGATCAATGGGAAGCCAATCAGGACTATGATAGATACCAGTGATACCCACAACTATCTCGCAAGTGCCGAAGTAGAGCGGCTTGTACTTGTTCTATAGAGAGGTAAGGGAAAGTTAAAGCAATCAACTCCGCTGCTCAACCAATAGCGGGAGTAGCGAAATCTGTGTCAATCAAAAAATAGATCTCTTCGAAGGAAGGACAAACTTGTCGGCAGTTCATATGGATGATTTCAAGATCATTCTGAGTAGGACTGGGCAAAACCCAAACCAACCCTAGTAAACTGACCGACTCTACCCAAACCGACCGGTTTGGGTTAGTTTTTTGCTTTTTTTGGGCGGGTTTTGGGTTGGGTAATCTGGTCGGGTTATGGGTTAATAATCCAAACCCGATCGAACCGACCTGACTCGAAACCCAAAAATAAAAAAAAATAAAAAGGAAAAACGAACTTAAAAAAAAAAAACCTAAAGGGTAAGTCCATCCATGATTACACAGTGCTCTCACTTCTCAGCTCTGTTCTCTCGCTTAAATCGCCTTCAGGCACTTCGCGAATCATGCACGCAGGCCGTAGCTCTCCTCTTCAACCACCGATCCTCGACGTCGTTCACAGTAAAATGGCAAGTCCATCCATAGTAAACACACGCATAGGTATGCATCTGTACCGAAATTTTTTGGGTGCGGCTACAGCATCCTCATAATCTGCTTCATGATTTGTATGTTTCCAACCATTTCCAATCGAGTTCCTTCAAAACAAATTCGCTTCTTTAGGATGAATTCTAGTTATATATAAATTGTAGTTTCTTGATATAGTTTCGTAGTTTGAGATCTGAATCCCACATCAGATTTTGGTGAGTATTTATTTCGCAGCTATTTTTTCTTGATTTCTTGCTTTACCCATCTTTTTATTAACTTAATTCTTCAAAAAGATTGGATTTAAGGGTTTTTGTAGTATTATTTGTTAAGAAAATCTAGGAACGTTAAATTATTTGAATTTTTTGGCATTACATTTATTGCAATTGGTTAATTGTGTTAATTTGGTCAGTGATGTTACAAATTTGCTTATTTTTTCCAAAATGCTTTTGAAAGGGTACTGAATGCTAGGTTGTGTGGGGTTACCTTTTATTAGCTAGAATTCTCATTTTCTTTAAATCGCTACGGTATTATATTCATCTTTTTCCTTTTGAATTTTTCTTGATTTGGTAATAAATCTGGACTTGTAGATTCTTAGTGGGTAATGTGAAATTTGTTTTTGTATTTTTATTAGATGAATCGAACTTTCAAGTAGCAAGTACTTTCAGTTTAATTTCACATTATGGATACTAAGGTTTTATATTGTTATCATCAATTGATTTACCTTGCTCTTAACATATAAGTTTCCTACATGTAGCATTTTTCTTTGCCATAAATCCTTCACTGGACATACTGCTTACTTGATTAGACATCCAAATGATCATGGTGATGGGTTTTACAAATTTATACCATCAGGCATCAGCAGTGTACTGGCCTTTATTTGCCATAGCCGCATTGGAAGCAATAGTTGCAAGTCTGTCTTTAATTTCTGCCACTTTCTCTGTGATCAAACAATCAGTGGTACTAGATTAATTGCTGTAATACTGATATTTGGAGATGGAAAAGATATTGGAAATGCATTTGGTAAGATGAAATGATTCCACTCAAGAGACTTGTAGTTACTGTTAGAACTATAATTTTTATGATCTTCCGAGCACCATTGTATTTAACATAGAGTTATTTTTCTATTGAAAGATTATAGATACTGTCTTTAACAAATCGACTAACTCAACCCAACCCGATCGACACTTGATTGGGTTGGGTTGGGTTTCAACATTTACACGGGTTGGGTTGGTTTGATTTTAGATTAAACTGACTATGTTGGGTTGGGTTTGGGTTAAGGAAAAAACCAACCCAACCCAACCCACGTCCACCCCTAATTCTGGGATTGGAATTTTTTCGGGATACAAGAACAACAGTCATTCCGACTCGTTAATAATGATAGGTAGTAAACCATGCATTATTCCCACACAAGTTTGGAAAACAGACGAGAAGGGTATCTCGACCATGCAATATAATTAGGGTTTCAAGATGAATAAACCCTCGTTTTTGTGCACTCTTCGATTA